TACCTCCAGCTTCCCCTCTACAGGCTCCCTCAAGGCTCTGCCTGGTCCATACCAAGCTCAAAGCTCTGGTATCTTATGAAAGAAGGAAAAGAGATCTTGGGGTGATATTAAAGACAGGACCGAGCAGACCCCTGCCTTGTGACCACTAAGGCTTGAAATCCCGTCTGTCCCCTACGGCTTCTAAGCTCGCTAGAGCCCATGTTCCCCCACTACCTGCCCCAGGGAGACCTGAAACCAGGCTCAGGGTCTCACCGTTGCCTGAGAGCATGCTGCGGTTCATGCCTGGGCTGGGGGGTGCTGGCTTCAATCCGGACTGTTGGAAAAAGCAGAGGTTTTTATCACCATGATTAATGCAGCAGGGCAGCTTTGGGGAAAATGCAGTTTGGCGCTTGCTCCCTGGTAGCAAGGCCGATCTATGAAGTTGCTCCTGTCCTAAAGCAGACAGTGGGAATCTGTCTGGTGCTAATGAAAATCGATTAAGCAAACCCCCACAGCAGGCAGAAATAAGGCCTTTTGTCCTGGGTATCCCTTTGACAGATTTCAGGGCATCTGAGGTGGCAAGTTGGCCATTTTCTTGGCTTCACCAATTTGATAGAAAGGCCAAAAATAAGACAAATTTTTATAGAGCAGAACCTGAAAGTAAACTATAAATCCCACACCTCTCCTGTGCAGTGCAGGGCCAAACTCCCTCGTGACATAAATGCAGCCAGCATGCAGGCGGAATGGAAGCGAGGCTCTTTGGGGACCCACAGCAGTGCCATGGGGGGCAGTGTTTCCATACGAGCTCTTCCCCCATTAATTCAATTCTCCTGTCCTTACTAGAGCAGACAGATGGCACCAAGCATGGCCAGAAAAGCCAGCAAAACCCTGGCCATGCTGAAAAGGAGCTACTCCTGCCACTGTCTGTTCCTGTGGGACCTTTGGGAGGGGTGCTGGGTCTCTGCCCTGTCAGAGCAGCCGGGATGGAGTATCTGCTGCCAGTCTGACGCCACAGGAGGCACAACTTTGGGCAATTTAATGCCCAGTGAAAATGACAGCCTGTTTAACCCTTGCCAGACGGAGATTTCTCACACTGCTTGACCACTAAATGTTTAAATCCATCTTCTAAGAATGAATCCATCTTCCCAGGCTCCAGAACAAGTTGCTCTTAAGCCACACGTGGCTGCTTCTGTTTCAGAGCTTCTGCACTCAAAGGCTCAGTCTGGTTTCCTTTCAACACCTCTACCAGCAGACCTTAGCTTGTCCGCAGAGGCTCCTGAACATCCATCCCGAGACCACAGCACAACGAACTCAGTGCTCAGGTAGTATTTGGAGATTGCATTTGAACCAGCCATTCTGTTTTGGGAGATGTGAGGGGTAACCATTGCTGTTGACAATCGGGGAGATGTGAGGGGTAACCATTGCTATTGGCCATCACTGCAGCTGAGCTAGCAAGTTGTTTGGGTGGCTTGATGATGAGTTATAAACCTAAAACCAGAGTTCCCATCAATCACCACAGAAGCTTGTGCAGGTGTTTTTCAGCTGTGCTACTGATTCCCTGTATACTCCTGGTTAGGATCCTATTTACTCTTTACGTTCCCAGGTAGGAAATCATAGAAGCATAGAATAGGTTGGAGAATTCCAACCGTTAACCCAGCACTGCCAAGTCCACCGCTAAATCATGTTCCTGAGCCCCTCATCCACACATCTTTTCAATATCCCCAGGGATGGTGACTCCCCCACCTCTCTGGGCAGCCCGTTCCTGACAGCCCTTTCAAGGAAGAAATTTTTCCTAATATCCAATCTAAACCTCCCCTGGTACAACTTGAGGCCATTTCCTCTTGTACTCTCACTTGTCACAAGAGACCAACCCCCCCATCTCTCTGCACTCTCAGGCAGTTGCAGAGAGCGATCAGGTCTCCCCTGAGCCTCCTCTTCTCCAGGCTGAACACCCCCAGCTCCCTCAGCCCCTCCTCACAGGACTTGTGCTCCAGACCCTTCCCCAGCTCCGTTCCCTTCTCTGGGCACACTCCAGCCCCTCAGTGTCTTTCTTGGGGTGAGGGGCCCAAAACTGACCCCAGGATTCGAGGTGCAGCCTCACCAGTGCCCAGCACAGGGGGACAATCCCTGCCCTGGTCCTGCTGGCCACCCTGTTCCTGATGCAGGCCAGGATGGCGTTGGCCTTCTTGGCCCCCTGGGCACACTGCTGGCTCACATCCATCCGGCTGTCGACCAGCACCCCCAGGTCCTTTTCCCCCGGGCAGCTTTCCAGCCCCTTGTCCCCAAGCCTGCAGCGTTGCAGGGGGTTGTGGTGACCCAAGTGCAGGACCCGGCACTCGGCCTTGTTGAACCTCACACAGTTGGCCTCAGCCCATCGATCCAGATCCCTCTGTCCAGATCCCTCTGTAGAACCTATAGAATCATAGAACCGTGTAGGTTGGAAAAGACCTTTTAAGATTATCAAGTCCAACTGTTAACTAAAGTGAAATGAAGGACCAGAGCTTCTCTGTCTCACAGTAAATGCTGAAGCTAAATTCCATAACATCCGTACAGCCCTGCAAGCCAGAGAGCTGCAGGTACTACAGCACCCATCTTCCTCTAAAATGACAGTCGAGCAGCTTTCCTGTCTGCACCATGTTATGGATCTTTGCTTCCTGTGGAGCAGCCCGAAAAGCTGAGCTCAGCACCCCCATTTTGATACAGGGTAGGTGCTGAATACCTGTTTCTGGCTGGCTAGCACAGCTGTATGAGCCACTGTTTAGGGTGCCAGGCAAGAGTAATGCAGCCTGAGTTATTCCTGTGGCTCTGCCATGGGTTTGTTTGGAGTCGGTAATTTAACCTTACCGCACACTGCTGTTTCTCAGCTGTACAACAGGGCTGGCAATGCCTGTCTATCTACAGATGCAGAGGGTTGCTGTTAATATTTGGCCAAGACCTGTGAAGTACTGCTTTAAATCTAATCTGAAGGGTCTTCCACAAATCCATTTCACGTGGATTTGTTTCCTCTCTCCTTGCTAACCACGTGTCAAAGAGCCAGTTTAAACATATGTCTCCTATAGACTTTGCTCATCAATGGGGCTTGTGCAGTTTGGCAGCAGTTTAGCCAACTGCATGGGCTCATGCACAAAGGGAATGTCTGCAAAACACGCTGCCCTAGCTGAAGTCTGGCTTGTTGGAATATACAACGGTTTGTTTTACAAATTTCCTTATTATATGGTCCCATTTGCTCTTCTGATGAGGCTGCTGAGGTCAGAGGAAGGGCTCGAGCCAGCAGTCTCCTGGCTTGCAGCAAAGGCTGGTGGTCCCAAGGCTCCTGACTCTCTGCCCCCTTCTCCCTGTCAGGCAGCCCAAAGCTTCTTATAGCACAGTCATCAAAGGATGGGGTGAAAAAGTTTGTCATCAGCTCTGATGTAGGGGCTGGATAAACTCAGGCAGTTTGGACAGGTCCTGTCCCACCACGTTAGCTGGGACTGTGGATTATGCTTTATCATTAGCCCTGGAGAAGGATTTAATGAGCTGGAAGAGCAGAGAGGTATCAGTGCCTGCTTGCCACAGGCTGTGGGCTCATGGTGAAGTGTAAGGTGTTGGGCAGGTAGGAAGATGAAAATGCCCCTTAAAAGCAAACCGTAGTGCTAGGAGAGGCCAGGAGCTGGTAGGGCAGTGGGGTTTGCTGCCATCCCCTTGCCCATTGGCTGCGTCTCCGCAGGAGCGATGGGCTGGAAACAGGTCTCAGCTCTGTCATGCTCAGGTGGCTCTTGGTTTTTGGGGTGGGCTTGTGTGAGAACCCTCCCTGGGTGAGAGCCCAGTTTTGCCCTCTTCTAGCAGGGCTCCTACCACCACCTTTTTGGAGTGGAAAGCAGTCATAGGCTGCCACTTGTTCCCCCTGGCAGAGCTCCTCTCGCCTTGCTGAAACACGAGCCAGGATCAGAGGGATCACTCCACCTGGATGCCCAATCTAGCTCTGTGCATCATGTTCAAATCGTGAAAACATAGCCCTACCCCATTTGGCCATGGGCCTTCCAACCATGACCGGGACCGAGCCCCTGGTTAGCACTGGGTCACAATCCTCAAGCTTTGGGCACTTACCCCGGGGAAACGGAGCGAGGGTGCTGCTGCTTCAGCCAGGATCACATGCCGCGCCGTAAGAGGATCCATTTCCAAAGCATGGAGATGCTTCCGGCAAGGCTCTTTCAGTGTTGTTTTACACTAGAAGCTTTTGACAGCATGGGGCTGTGCCCACCACCCTAGAGGCAAGGCGCTGTGGGGCACCAGTCCCGTGTAAAGTCTCCCCAGGGACCGGCAGGATGTCAGGTCTTTGCATGGTGCCAGTGGATGGAAGCAGGGGACGGCCCCAGTCAGTTCAGCAGTACAATACGATTTACAGCAAGCAAGTTTCTCAAGACATCCGCAAGGACAGAGCTTCGTTGAGCATCATATATACACAGACAGCAGAGGAGGCCGGGCTGAGCCCTCCACTACTGTGAAGCAGTCAGGGATGGACTCTCGGGGTGGGGAAAAAGGATCACTGGTTTGCTCTTACATACTGTACATGTATCTATTAATAGCCCCTTGGCATTTGATGTTCACAGCCAGTTTCCTTTAACAGTGAGCGTAAAAAGGAGGCAAAATATCTTCAGCTACTTCCTCTGGGGATGGGAGAGAAAGCAACATCTCACACTCCCCCGGCTCAGCTGCCTGCCCAGGTGCCACCTTCGCCAGGGATGTCTCTTTCTCCCAGCATCCTCATCCTCATCATCAGCCGGGCACTGCGTGCTGGCCAGGGCCAGTCCTAACCCACGCCGTGCTCGCCCCATCTCCGCTGCTCACTGGGATCAGTGCAAGTCTCCGTCGGCTGCTCTGCACCTCCGCTCCGCTGGACGGGCAGATGAACCGGGTTCAAACAGAAGGAAACAAAACAAAAGGGAGAAGAAGAAAGACAAAGGGTAATGAAAAGGTCCATGGCCCACAGCTGCCAAAGGAAATCTCTCGCCGTGTTTCTCTGAACATACTTGTCCCAGCCACTACAGCTGCTGTGGGATCCCCTGTTCCTTGTAGCCTGTGAGGAGGGAGGGGAAGGGAACATGATTAGTTTTAATTCCTAACAAGGACCCTCGGCGAGGCTCAAGCGAGCCATGAATACCAGGGAGTATCTGGGTCTGTCACGGGCACCCTCGTGGCAAGGCTGGCCAGGGCAGGCTCAGCCCGGTGAGCTGTCCTGTCTTGCGTTAGCCAATGTCTGCCCCAAGCAACTACGGGGTGCAGCCACCTTCCTGGGCACAGCGATGGGGCTGCCAGCGGCCAGCCTCGCCGCTGCGGCGCCTGCCGGCCTTCGGAGACCGTGTGGGCAGAAGCACGTCTGCTTGGAGAGGTCATCAAGGTGTGGTAGGTACCTGCCACCACTAAGTACAGTACAGCCCAATAACCTGGCACTTTTATGCAAATGATGCATTTTCTGCCTAAATCGTTCTGTATCAGAGCAGGTTTTTCTGCAGCCCAGGGGGAATGCTTGCCCTTGGATATTGCTCCTGAGACACTGCGGCTCCCAAGCGCTGCCCCTGGCAGCTTGCTGGTCGTGCAGCCAGCACACTCACACCCCTACGTGCAATCTGTGTCTGAACCTCATCTTTCCAGAGGACTGCCAGGTAGGAGGAAGCTGGTTTCATTCATCCACTTTTCCGTTCCCATCCCAGCTTTTGCTAACCGAGCTCTCCAGCATAACCAGTTCGCACTGGGGCTTGCAGAGGTGACCAAACATCTCTCGGAGGAGGAGGGGGCATCTTTAATCGCAGGCTGACATGACAGAGTTCAAACACAGACTTTGGGATGCCTCTGTGGGCCCTTTCCCTAAAGATATTCTCACTGCCTTGTTATGCACTTGCTCTGCTCCAGCCCAGCAGAACTACAGGTGCTTTTGTCAGGGCACAGCAGCCGTCCGGCGGGACTGGAGAAATCAGAGCTTTCCAGCAGCAAAGCCAGTGGCACTGGGGAACTGCCCGAGCCCTCCTCCTTCACCCATTCTCTTGTTCCCCCGGCCCTGGGGTCTAATGCACCTCCTGACCAAGGCAGCGAAGCCCTCGTGGGGGACTCTGTGTTGGCTCACGTTTGGCCCCAGCCAACACCGGGGCCCTGCAGTGCTGCAGTCACAGGGATGCTGCAAGGGTTAAAGCAGCCTGTCCTGCTGCTTGTCACAGCTTCTCCGGGGACCAGGGCCCCACTTTATTTACTATCCCGTATGTAGTGGTTGAGGGGAGGCTGCAAATCCCATAGGGGAGGTCTCCTTCCCCCAGGGGAGGTAGGGCAGGGATGGAGAGCACCCACAGCTCTTTCACTGACACAGGATCACGAGAAAAATACTGGGGTTTTTAGCTCATTCCTAGATGGTTGCAATGGCTGTACCATTCTTTCTTTTTAAGAGAAGCTGGGATTGTTATTTTGATAGTATCAATGCGAAAGATCTCCTTTTTACAAGAAGCAAACAAACCGTCCTTACCTGCACTGCTTGCCACAGTGAAGATCTTTCAACTAGAAGCCTTTTAAAAATCTGGAGGTTTTTTTTTTCCCCCTTTGTTTAACAACGTAAGTAGCCTGTCATTTTTATTTTTTGAATTTCAAAGGAGTCTCAAATTTCACATCCCAGCAGAATGCTTAATTCTTCACTTTTCCATTGACGCTTTTTAATATTTCTTTCCAACCCTTATGTCGGGCTTCTCTAAGTCCCTTAAAAAAGCCGAATACAAAATACCAGCAGGTGCAACAACCCCTATCTTTAAGGGACTTTTTGCTGAACTAAGAATGGCCTTGGCAGATGAACTTTGCTGTACTTTGGAAAAATCCACACATTCACCCAGCCTTGGCAGTCTGGATCTCCTGCTGCTAAACAAGCACAGGGAATAGAGGAGATTAACAACACTTATCAGCATGTATTACCCTGTACCGGGCTGCTGCCCATCCTGTGCAGCTGAACAGAAAGACTCTTACCTCTTTCAAACAGCTTTTTCTAGGGGAGGGGAAATGATTTCTTATGCATTTATGTTGTCAGTGTGAGTCAGCTCTGAAGGCAAGATGAGCTAGTTGGAAACCTGTTAATATGGGTTTGTCTACAGCATTGGTTTAGGGAGCACAGTTAGAAAAATACCCAAAAACCAACCACAAGGACCAGAGAGTTGGGGAATGCCATAAATCCTTAGCTAAAGTAAGCAAGCGAGGTTATGCTTACACTAACTTGCCTGCATTGCCATGATTTTTATAAAGTAAGCCAAAAGATGACCTGTCCTCTGCTAAACTTATTTATTAAATAGTTCATATATGAAAATAGTTATTGCATTACTTGCAAAGGAATAGCTATTCTGTATGAAACAGTTTTATGTTAGTGTGTCTGCAATACAGTTAAGGTGCAGTCCTGCAAAGCAGACAGCTCTGGGGTCAAGACTAAGTTGGTCTGAATGTCTGTGCACAAAATCTCTGAGTTAATCAAGTTTGCCTGAAATTGCACTTCTTCTGTAAACCACTGCAAGTAAGGTTTGGGGGAAAAAGAAACCAGTCTGTGCACAGGCTGTCCTACCGGGACTGGGTCCATGTGGAGGGTGGCCTCAGGATGATCTCGGGGCTGAAATAGGTCCCTGCCCTGCTCCAAGGGTAAGGGCAGCCTGAGGGGCATTTCCACACTGGCTGGAGAACATGTCCCCGGGGCTGTACGGCCACAGGACAGACACAGAGACAGGCGGACACAATGCACGTACAGGCACATGGCTGGACTTGGGCTGGGTGCAGGCAGCATCAGCCAAAGTGAATCCCAAACGGCTTGCCCTGGCTGAGCACACACTGCTCTTCGTGGGGAACTGCCCCAGGGTGTGAGGAGGAGGAGGAGGAAGAACAGAAACAAACTTACCTTGTGAAACTTTGATGGTGAACAAAAGGAGGCAAAGGAACATGAAAGAAAGAGAGAGGGAGAAATGTAACTGTAGACGATATATCCGAAACACATGGAGAACCAGAAAAGAACGAATAAACTGGGGCTGCAGAGTAAACAGAGGACAGCTGCTTTGCCACCAGACATTCACGCCAGGACTACACGTTACTTAAAATCCTTGTACCTGAAGCGGATCATTTCATTTGGGGCTCTTGTTTAAAGAGGATGGGGGAACCCTCACCTGCTTTCCAGCTCACCAGCCCCAAGCTAGACAGGCTCTGGATGTCGATGCTCCCACACACGCTTTCCTCTGGGACATTGCGATTTCATGGCTTTGGCTGAAGGGGAGCCGCTGAAGGAAGGCAGCAAACGACATCACAGCGTACCGGATGGCACACGGCATGCTGTTCACTGTCTGAGAGCTGGGAAAGCGACACCTGATGGCTTTTTGGCAGTTTTGCTGCTGAGTTTGCTTGTGCCCGCAGATAACTCACAACTGCGGTGTGCCTCAGCCCGGCTGGGTGCTGCAAACCCTGTATTTAACATCCCTACCACACTTTAAGAACTTAACTTATCGTGGCATTTGGTAGGAAACTGCAAAAAAGGGTATTTTAACTACTTTCCTAAGGTATAATTTGGCTGATGGCTCTGTTTAGATCTAAAAACATAAAAAAAAGTAGTTTTAAGTGGGCAATTTGTCCAATGCATTTCCATCATCTCATGAAGGGTTACCAGCTGCTTTGGGGTGCTGTTCTCTTCCAAGTCTCTCCCTTTCCTTCCCAGGGCAGCTGCGCTACCTACCCTGGCAGGGGCCATGAGAGGCGGCTTGACGATGCTTTCCCAAACCCCTTGAAGCCCGAGCATACAGGCAATCACCTGCTGCTGCTTCTGGCAAGGCCTGAGCGCCGTAATTAGCAAAGGAATGACAAGTGGATGGCATGTTTCCAGGTAATTTCTTATTGCTGGCCAGCAATCAGCCCCTGAGAGTCAGCTGCCCGCTGCAGAAGCAGGGGCTGCAGGAGGGGTCCCCGTCCTGTGAAACCATGAGTGACAGCGCTTTTGCTCGTCCGTAGGCATAGCCACCCAAGTCGTTAATTCAGGGGACAGAAGCTGAGCAAGGGCTTCCTTCAGACAGCAGGCTTGACTTTGTGGCTGTGTTCATCAGAGGGGAAACAACGCCTGGACAGAGAGTCCCTGACTTACTGTCCCCCATGCCACCTCAGAGTGACGTTAGTATATTGATTTCTGTGGTATTTCTGTCAAGAAATGGCACAAAACCTTGTATAACAAGCTCTGATCAGCTAGGGAGTTCCTGGAAAGGCCATTGCCCTGCGTTCATTCTGCACAGCGCAGCTAACGAAGCCACGTACTGCGTGGACCGGGGACAAGGTGTGCCTTTAGCAGAGGGAAACTTGCCCGGAAAGCCTTAGGAGGCTCCTTTTCCAGTTGGCCTTGGCCAGCTCATTAGCTGTGTTTTGCCTCGGCTCTGTGCCTCGTCCCCACAGCCGGGGGTTCGAGGAGATCCCCCCCCCCCAGCCACAACCAAGGGCAGCTGGATATTTGCAGTGGCAAGGGGAAATTTTTTCTTTTTTTCAAAATAATTAAATGCTTCTTTTTAATCTACCTTTGCCTTCAGACAGCAGGTACAGTGAAGGACGGTTCCCAAAGCCATATGGCTGCTTAAAGAAGATGTCTGTGGCGTCTAATAGGGCCAGCTGGCAATCCATTTAAATTAGCAGAGATAATGCCCCATGCCATTGTGCTGCCAAAAGTAATTAAGTGTGACAGCAAAACTGCATTCAATTAATCTTCCTTCTGGGATATATCCTGCTAAAGGGCACCTTACAGGAGATGAGGGCTGGGGGGGGACCCCCCCGAGGTCAGTCAGTCTCTTCCCGTGTCCTACCTCGCTCCTGACAGATGCAGGGCTACCTGCTCTTGGGGTCCTCCAGTGGCAGACAGGGCAGATCCTGCCATGCCACCTCTTCAGCATTTTCACCTTACTGAAAAATGTCTCCTGATTTCCACAGAGATCTTTCCTGCTGTTATTTAAGTCTGTCTTAAGCTAAACTACTGCCCTCTCACGTCTACTAGGCTGCAAACCTCTTCATTGCCTGCCATCTCACTGTCCTCTGGGCTCTCTCCAGGTTGTCCACATGAAGTACAGCCTCCGAAGCCAGCCACAAACCTCAGCACAGCTTTACGTGTGCCGAGAAAGGCAAGGGGACCAGTTAGTGCCCTCCAGGCTCTGCTCCTACCTGCCTGGGCGGTGTTTGTTCCCTCCACAGCAATGTACTCCTGTGCAGCTCGTGACTCACTGCAGCCACCACATCCTTCTCTGAAAAACAAGTTGTTCCCTCGAGTGTATTTATGCAGTTGATTAATTCTTCCTTAGTGTCTTGGGCTTGTGACTACTGAATAAAATTAATTTTTTTCAGACCATTTCTTCAGTTTGCCTGAATCCCTGTAGCCGCCATCGGTGCGGGGCTGGTATGTCCCTTCTCCGGTCCATCACCAAGCCATGAATGACTATACTGGGCAGAGCTGGATTCAGGAGAGACCTTGGAACACACCTCTCCTTCTACCTTTCCCATTTGGGCAAATGCATTTAAAAAACAGTTCTCAAGCGTCTTGTCACCCAGGCCACGTCTCCCTGGCTTGCTGGTAGGAACGGTGTGTGAGACAGTGTCAGCGCTTGGAAGTGGGGAGGGATGGCTGACCGCCACTCACAAAATGAATCCCTCTGCCACAGGAGGGAACCAGGCCAGTCTGACACAGCTCTGGACAAACCCAGGTGGACTTTGTTTCTTTTTATTTTCTAAATGCATGCAAGTCACTTGTTTGATTACTTCTTCCAGGAATTGACGTATACCTGACTGGCCTATAATTCTTCTGCTTTTCCCCTTGTTGAAAGCAGTATGACATTATCCCCTAAGTTCTCTCCTTGGAGCACGCTCCCTCTTTTTAATGGCTGAGAATTAGCACTGGAAGATGAAAAGCTGCAACGAGCTTCCCTAACTCCCACCCAGCTGTCTACCAGCTAACAGACAGGCAGGCCCTGAGCTGGGGAGCAAGGCACTCATCCCTCAGGGAAAGCTGGCCCAGCTGCTTCCCACCCTTCTCCTCACCTTCTCCCCCATCAGCTTAGACATCACCCACTGTGCCCTGCCCCTAGCCCATCAAAATCGCAGGGCACCCTCCCAGGGATGCATGGAATCGACCATTCCAAGGTGAGGAAGACTAGGAGCGGGCAGTAATTTCACGGGTTTTTAACTATTTCCCACCTGCAAGCGGATTCAAGTTGCAATGGTGTACCGTTTCTGTCCCCAAGCTGCACACAACCAAACCCAACTAAAGCAAACTGTTTCCTGGCGTGTTGTTAAATGAAATACCTTATTTTTAAGTCGTTGCTTTTTCTTAACATGAAAAAAACAAACTCTTTGGATTCTGACAGGGCTGTTTGATCCAGCTGGGAACAACTGATCATTTCTGATATTTGTGTTGATTGAAAAATGAGTTTTTGCTTTTATTCTCCATCAATCAAGAGCTGCTTTATTTAGCCATTATTTTCCCTCCATGGTGAGTAAACGTAAAACCCAGATATTTAATGAAACAGCAAGAAAATGCCAAGGGCTGCAACTTGTCAGAGCATATATAGCTGGTTAACATGAGACACGTTGACCCCTCTTACCCTTCCCTACTGCCACCAGAGGGGCCGGGATGAAATACTGTGGCTGTGCTTAGGGATCTCTTGGTCTGAGCATCCCCAACACATGCTGCTCACCCACCCTCTGCCTCCCAAACCAGTGCAGTCCAGCCAGGTGCAGGGAACAGCTTTGGGGTGATAATTCCAAGCTGTAAGGTTTTCCCCAGCAACCAAACTGGAAAACCAGTAAGACGCTCCTGGAGGACATACATGAACAGGACAATGGAGAGAAGCAAGGCACAGTTTCAGCTGTAGCTCTATCTGGCCAGATGTTTTCTTGCCTCTCCCCGCAGCTGCAGAACCACATGCGGAGGCTGTCCAGCAGCGGAACAGCAGAAGAGCGTATGATGATGAACATGTAATTATGGGATTACACACAAATTGGGCAGGATCTTAAAGACACCTCACAGATGTACACCAATTCACAGTTTAACCTCAGGAATAACTTGGGCTACCCCTGCTCTGCATGTATGTCTGGGAGGAAACTGCAGGTGGTTTGCCAGGAAAAACCAAAGGCAGTGCTGCCTTCGTCCTGAGGAAAGCCTTTTGCCTTGTTCAGGATTTCAATATCCATCATTTGCTCTGCATGGAGATTGCCCTTAGCCTGTAAATAGAAGCTGGCTCAGGAATTAGCAGGTGTTTTGGAGGGAAGGTTTAACCCCTGGGTTTGGCAGCTGAGGATGTGCACCGGTTTCCTGCTGGTTTTTCTAATTCATCCATTTTGGCAGGTGCTTGGCAATTTCCCGAGATCCTCTCTGCCATGCAGCCACAGTTGTCATCAGCAGAGATGACGAAGTGGAGCGCCTTCAAACCAGAAAGGAAAAGCTGCTGGTAAGACTCTCTCTGGGACAAGAGCTTGCTTTTAGGAGCTGCCTGCCCTGCTAGACTGAAGGGTCTCAGACCTATTTGGTTTGGGGCAATGCCCACCGGCCGTGCCAGCCTTTGGAAAGGAGTGGGGTCTTGCAGATGCAATCAGCACCCATAGATGTGGGCTGCTTCTGGCTTTGGAGGCGAGGTGAGACTGTCACCTTAATTCTCTGTGATATGGTACGGGTATGATACAACTTTTACACCAGTAGAAGTCTTCAGCAGATAAAGCTACAAGAGCCTGCATTCTGGATTGGTAATACATATTAACTGGGTGACCTTAATGATGTGTGTTTGAAAAAGGGTTCCTCTCTTATCCCTCTAGACTAACATTTTGGAGGCTCCTTAAAGGGTGTAGGGGAAATCCTTCTAGGAGTAGCTCAGCAGTCCTGCTCAGCCTAAGAACTTGGTGTGAAGCACGAAACAAAGCCTTTGGGTAAATGTGTTCCGGGAAAGGAAAGGGAGGGCCCAGGAGAGTCCCCAGGGCTTTTCTGGGGACAGCTGGCCCTGCGTGCTCCCTGGGAGCAGAACCAGCCTCACAGGGAGGTCTTGTTAACCAGAGAGATGCAGTCGGAGTCACAAGGGAAGGACGGCTTTCTCGTTCAAACACGCGCGCGGGTGCGACCAGGGCAGGAGGGGCTCCAGACAGCAGAGTTCACCGTGCTGGGGGGCCTCACCCCTTCCTGCACTTTTCATTTTATAAGGAGGAAAGGAAGGTCCTGACCCACGTGGTGGGATGAGAGACACTTCCAAATGTGTCACGGGCCCCATCCCAACTGCCTCCCAGCAATTCCTCTGCCTACTGTGTTTCTCACAGCCTTGCAGAGCCCATCCTGTGGCTCTTCTTCCCTACAGAGCAGTGTGATGGCTTGCAGGGGTGTTAGCTGGGACCCCGCAGCATGGCCAGGGAAGGCAGAAGTTGAGAGTGTGCTGTACTTACTTGCAAGAATGACCATGTCCATCCCCCAGAATATACTCATAATCCAGCCAACCATCACGATCGCCGTCAGGATCTGAATCAGAGCAGCAGCAATGTTCAGCCAGAAGACACAACACATGTGCCTGTCAGGGAGGTCGGTCCGGGCTCCGCACAGCACAGTGAAAGCGGATACAAATGTTCCTAGGGAGAGAGCAGCAACAAAGCACCCAGTGAAAGCCATGGCTTCATGCCAAATTCTTTCCCTCAGACCCACTTCTCATCGCAACCCACTTCTTGTTCTTCCATTGCAGTGCTGAAAAGCTGGAAACAGGGGGGTGCTAATGTGGCACTGCATCTCTTCACAATGCTATCCCCAGTTGGAAGTTGTTACCTGGGAGCATGTTTTAACAAAGCAGAAGCAGCTAAACCAGTGCTGGAGCCCAGTGACCAGGCATTGCAGCCCTCAGCTCTGCTTGAGACCAACTTACAAAACTTGCAAACACCCTTCAGGCTTCCTAAAACAGTTCAGATGAAGGGTCTTGCTGATGTACGAAAGTTAAAGCTGAGGGAAAGCAACTACATCACAGCAGCCTTTATAAAGGTTCTTCCTGAATTTACCATATTGGACAAGCCTGATCATTTATTCCCAGATGATGTCCCGGGGCCCATGGCTGGCTGAAACCTGCAGCTGGGGGAAGCCTTGTCTGTCCCATAACCAACCTGCAGAAACACACAGCACGGGCAAAGAGCAGAAGAAACTGTTTCTGATCCCTATAGTGTACGAGCTGTTGGCTGGGAGATTGTCACCTGAAGTAAGTACACATTTCAACACCTCCCATCATTATGAATTTTCTTTACAGCCTTCCAGAAGACCTCAACAGACAGAGAGAGCAGAAGGATCTGGTTAGGAACAAAATACCATTCTGTCTTGCATTGCTGGGATGGTGGAAGAGAGAATCTCCATTGCTGCCTCTTTTTTGGTGGGTCACAAGAAGAACAAGTGGTTAAGATGCTGAAATGCTGGAGAAGGCTGGCTACAGCCTATTTTTAATCTCCCCATCCTCTGCAGGCTTCAACTTCAGTGTCTTCCTAACACTCCACCAGCTCCTAAAACTCCACTTGTCTTCTGCCACTGGCTCAAACTGATTTTGTACTCCCACCAGCTCCCTTTACCACACGCCGAGCCAGGCAGGGAGCAGGACTGCAGCGGAGGGGAGTGGGTGAGCACTGCTGGGGCAGTGGGAGGCAGCCCTATGGCAGAGCATCACTGGCAGGGAGAGGGGCAGCGTCTTCTCCCTGTGAGAAATCCACACCCCCCCCAGCTTCATCCTCTGACTGTTCGGCTTTCACAGTCAGAGCTTCATCCCCTTATCCACCGAAACAAAAGGGTCTGCGCAGAGGAAAAGGCAAAATCATTTTAATCCCTAAGGATGTTGTGTAAGTCTCCCATTGTTTCTTAAAAGAAAGGCTGTCTTTTGCTCTGTGGCTTTGTATTCCATGTCTTTTGTGTCTGCCATGTGGGATTATGTGAGATTTCTGCCCCGCTTCACCTATCTTTTTCTTAGCGTCTCCAAAGCAGAAGGAAGCCTGGAATATTCCCCCATGCTTCCTGAAACTGCAAAGTTACACCACAGCACTCTCCGAGATTAAATATGGATTGAGGCAAGATCAGAAACTGTTTACATTTTCCCATTAGGATGCAAAATCTTGCCAAATGGAAATGCATGTCTCTAAAATGAAAATCTTCCCCTCTTGCCTTACCTTTAACTCTTCCAAGATGTGTTATAAAAAAGGTCATAAATGAGCAATAATTCTTAAGCTACAGCTTCAAATCCTTCCAGGGAAGCTTTTAAGATTTTGACATCACTAGAGTTGCTGAATTAGCTGATTAATCCCCTAAACACCAGTGACTAAGCTAATGTCTAGTCCCATTCAGAAGGGGATAAAGCAGACAAAGCAGTTAGGCTTCCCTCTCCGGACAGGGAGTTGATACAGGAACCAGGGTTAAAAATCCCTTGAACCTTGGCTTCTGATTCCCTCTTCAGGCCACTTGCCTACTCACAGGAGCCAATTCATTTTCCAGTGCCAGTGCATTTTCTTTATTAATTATGATTGGCTAATCTCTGAGAGGTTGTTGGCATTTTAAAAGACAAGACTTGAGACAAGCCGGCAGACATAGAATGGGAGTGGTTTTCCTCTAGTCCACATCCACTTTAAAATGTGAAGGAAAAGAAAGAGTCTTAAATGCATTTGTGATGGTTGTGACGGTTCCCCCTTAAGAAGCCATGGTAGTTACACATTGCCGAATATGGAAGCGTTTGCAACTGGAAGCAGAGGAGTGGAGAGGAGGAGGAGGAGGAAGGCAAGCAAGCCGCATCTGCTGATACCGTCTGGCTGTGTCAGAGCTGGGGCTCCGAACCGTTTCCCTTCCTGACCAAGCACTCAGACCCTTGAATAGCCACAGCCTAGCAATCATAAACTCGGTACGCAAACGGCAGCTGCGATGATGTTGGCCCAATAAATCAGCTGTCCAAAAAGGTCTGGGGCTGTGAGTGTAACCACCAAACACAAACTGCTAACGTCGCAAGCACATGTAAACTAAAATCCCCTATAGTAATGCCAGCGTAACATGAGATAAGTAAATTGAATGAAGTGTTTCTTATAGCTTTCTAACAAAAAATACCCCAAAAGTAGTAAAATCTGAGATTATTCTGAATTGTGAATTAAAACAGACAGAGGAGAGAGGTGTCCTACACTACCTAGCTGGTCTGTTAGTTGAGCCTCGCGGGGCGTGAGGGCCCCTCACAGACACGGGGCCAAGCCATGCAGCCCGCTGGCACCGGGGCCACCAAGTACCAGGGGCTGGGCAGAAGGATGGCTGGGAGCTGAAGCTGGCCCTTCTGGAGCAGCTGGGGAGGGGCAGAGGGTGAAGGTGCTATGGCAGCGAGCCTGGGAGGGGATGGGAATCTGAGCTTGTTCTTTCAGATCATCTCATCTCGCTTGGGTCAGTGTCAGTGAGCCGGGGCACCCACACAGTGTTAGGAAGGAAAGAGAGCCCCTGGGAGCCTGCGTTTGCTGTCAGCAGAATCAGGGTATTTTTAGATTACACCAGTAAATATGGAAGGCTTTTTGTTTTCAGTGGTTTAACGGACTGAACATGAAGGGGATGCATTATCTGTAAAGGGAGAAGCAAATGAAGGGAGTTTTGCCCTTTCTCTCAGCTCTGGTCTCTTGTCACACAGGATAAAGTTCCCTCTCCAGTTCATGCTGGTAGCCTGGCAGCCATGGCCTTCCCAAGAGCATCACCTGCTGGATTCTGGCCTCACAGAGCACCCCAAAATAGTATGAGAGAGGAATAGGTTTGGGGTTTTCTCTTAGAGGCAAAACTCACACCCTGGAGAGAGCTTTCCTGGCTTATTACTGTTAGGGTCACTCTTCTGGGGTGGAGGAAGACATGAGGTCGATCCCATGGCCTGTCCTGAGCAGTCTGTGTTACCCACCTGCAGCAGTGACTGCGTTATGGAACATCTTAAGCTGCATGGGAGATGGTTTTCTCTCCTGTTTTTGCAAGAAAGCCTATCCTGGGCACTCCTGCAGGAGCTTCAGCCAGACATGGAGCTTGGCTCTTCCATGTGGAGGAGCTGTGAGCAAACTTCTGACAGCACCTTCCCAGAAACACCAGAAGTGGGAGCCTGGTTAGAGCCAGGGTGCAAACCAGAGGGAGACGAGACACTGATGGCCATGGTGTAAGTAATCTGAGCACGCAGACCCCTTGGTAGTGGGCTTCCCACTGACTCCACGTATCTGAAACTTCCCAACAGAAAGCATCTCTGCTGCAAGGAGATCACACCTGGCAAGCTGCCCTGCTGCAGGTAGAGGAACAGAAGAAGCCCAAATTATTGCAGTCAGGAGTAACATGAGGAGCAGCTGGTCATGGTCCCTTCCCTACAAAAGCCTGGAGCCAGGGAGAGGCTGGGAAACATCCCTTCCTCTTCCCACAAGCCTGAAGGTCATTTATGATGTTCCCCTATAGCACTGGAAGTAAGTAAGATAGTGGGATGGTGCTTGCTTTTTGCTCCCTGAGGGAAAAATGTGGATTGTGCCTATGGCTCAGGAGCTGGAGCACAGCTGCAGATAAGTATGGACAAAGATGGGAAGGAGAGGGCAATGAAATCGGAGGTGTCTGTGGGAGCACGGAAAGCTATTGGGTTTATGGTGGGAGATGTAGTTAATGCGTGCGTATGTTGTGGGGATGAGCTGTACCTGCGTAGCTGTATTGTGTCAGGGGAGTGCTCTGTGTGGGGACACGTCTGATGTGTCTTTGAATTTTTTAAGTACGGTGATTATTAGCTGTCATCAAACAGTGTTGGCAGGTATACAAGGCAGATGTTGTGGATGTGCTGAAAATGCATGAGATGTGCTGGTTTTGACTCGTGTGAGTCAGAAAAACTGTGTGAGAAGGGTAGTAGTGATTGTACTTATCTCCTTGGTGTTACACCAAATGTGGTATGTATCGGTCAAGACATCCTTGGCTCCTAAGTCTCGTGAACTCATTTTTATACTCCAGTTTGGGCTACAAGCAGTTGTTTCAGTTGTGGAGGCTTCTCATCCTGGACATGAATCCATATGATAAACTGTAGTCCTTTTGTGTTATGATGAGGGAACAAGAACTGCTGAAACTTGCCCAGGAAAGGACTATAGCAGTGTCTGCTGCTGCTGAAAATCCTTCCTCTCTGCTTAAGCAGGTAGAGCTGGGCTGTGGAATGGACACTATCAACAACACAATAAAATGCAGTTGCAAAGCATTAACACTCAGGCAGACTCTCTGCTCAAACTTCTTTAAGCAGACAATTGCTTGCTTTTGCTTAGGAAAATGGATGAGAAGTAAAAACCCCTGGAAGTGTTTTGGCCAGCGTGAGTCCTCCCCAGAGGAGGACTGTTTCCAGTTTTTCCCCCTGTTTCCACTGGGCTGGAACTCACTAGGGCTTGGGCTGCACCGGAGAGAACCTGAGAGTGCAAGGGTGATCACCTGAACCCTCAGAGATAAGTGCTTTCTTTCCAAGCTTATCACAGCTCTCTGAGCAGAAAAGGCTGGTCCAGAAGAGCATCTGAGGTACCTGTGTGTGAATTGCCAGGGTCTCCACCAAGCCTCTCCTACCCATGGCCTGCCCAGAGAGGAATTCTTTGCCTGTTAGTGGGTG